CCTGAGGAAGAAAGACCTGGCCTTTTCTATATTAGCTATGAGAAATAAAAGATCCACTGCAGAATGAGGGGTATGAGAAGTGAACAAATTCTTGGGAAATGCCATATTTTTCTCTCAGAGTTCAACATTTCTCATAGTCTATGAAAAGATCCCAGTCTTACAAATAAAGCTTTTAAATAATTTTCATGGAGTTTACTTTCTGGTTTTTCAGATTAAGAGTATACTATGGTAGTTTATTAGTCATAGAAATAGTAACCTGGTGTACATTAACTTATGGCCTGTATTAGAATAAGCCCACTGACTTAGTAAGAGCCGGGATTGACCTAAAGCAACTTGCTAGGAGCTCTATTATTTTTCTGTTACTTGTACATCCTTAGCCCACAAAATAAAAAGTCCTTTTGAGTAATATCATTATCCCAAGTTCACAGAATAAAATTATGTCTTCACAGTACAAATCTGAATGTTATGGAGAACAAGGGTAAAATACTCATAACCCTGAAATTTTTTGTCTGAAGCTCTAAGTAATAAAATGACAAAGAAAGAAATTGTTTCAGACAGAAATTTCAGAGTGCTGCTTATAGATTTTCTTTTATAGATGTTATGATTTTGTTCAAAAAGGCCATATTGAATCCATTGGGTTTTTTGTAATAGATTTCAAAATACATAATAAATGTAAGTAATATGATGACTAATGGGTCAAGTGAAGTTGGAACTTTTTAAATGAGAAAATAGCTGGAAACAGTTTTCAGGAAACTATTCCAGTTGATTTTTGGTCCCCCACAAGGTGTACATTAACATAAACTCCGTAGAATCGCCTCTGGGACCTGAATTCCCTCTCTGATTTCATTATTGCAACGTGATTCTTTTCCTTTCGCTGTTAAGTCATCTCCTGGTGTGGTGGGAGCATATAATAAGTGTAATTTATTTATATTTATCTAATCTCCTTTTAACTCAATAGTTATTTCATCATTCTGTTTCCTAGTAGCAGTTCAGAAAGTTGTGAAGGATAATTAGAAACTAGTAATTGACAGACATGGATTTACTGGGTAATCTAAAGAGATGTCATGTAGAAATTGAGAGAGAGAAAGAATAATTCAAATTCAACGCTCAAATGCTACACTGTAATAAAAAGAATATTGCTTTGATATCATCTAAGTTCAATCTGATTTAAACATAACCAGAAATAACTCACTTGAATGCAATCTATTTACAAGCGCAGTAATTTCTTTGTATTTGTTTGCTGGAAATAGATAAATAAGTTATTGCTATTATGTCTGAAATCTAAAGAAAGCATTGGGATATAATTATGGTAGCCAGTCACTAGTAGGCAAAGGAGAGACTGATGGAACTGAGGAGTTAATGGTGGCTTTGAGCTACCTTTTGCCCTGTCTTGTTCTGATGTAATTTTGGACAATTCAAAGAGTTGTTTGAATTATAGGAACCTATGTTTTCCTACCGGTACAGAATCTGCACAGTGTTGTGTGGTGTGCTTCCCAAGGTGTTTAAAATCGTCTAAAAAGACTGTTAGCTGTGGATTTTACACCCTAGAAATTTTATTCAAGCTGCATCTAGGTGACCCTTTATATTGTAACATCTCTTTTTTGCCCTTTTTGTGTGACTGGAGAAGTGGCTGAACATCTATCTTCATCAGCTGTTATAAATAGCCCTTCATATTTCATCAGTTTTCACTGTTTCTTAGAAGGAATGTTAAAGCTTCTTTTACAGTGCTAAGTGTAAAACAGTACAAAGACTAAAACACATTTGATTGCTCAATTGGATTTTTATTTTTTTAATGTTTTACTTAAAATGCCAAAGAATCTTCTTACATAATCTCTCCCCAGTTGTAAAAATAACCTATGTCATTATGAGATAGTTAAAATATTTGCAGTGAAGGTTCCAGAGTTACACTTTCTACAATTGTGCTTCTGGCTGCCATAACCTTCTCTCAGGGCTGATTCACTGGATAATAGTAACTTAATACAAACCTTTGTAAAGTTAGAAGTCATGACAACGTTTTTCTGTGTGATGTGCAGTTTCCAAACAGAAAACAGGGAAGTCATTTGCCCTAGTGTCTATTGTTTTGTTGCTTTCTTGGATGAGCGCAGCGTTTGTGAAAACAATTTGACACTGTCCCAGATGACATCATTGTCTCTAAATTGGAGAGACATGGATTCGATGGATGGACCACTCAGTGGATAAGGAATTGGCTGGAGGGTCGCACTTAGAGAGTCACACTCAACAGCTCGATGTTCACGTAGAGACCAGTGACAAGTGGTGTTCCTCAGGGGTCGGTATTGGGACCAGTGCTGTTTAGCATCTTTGTTGGCAACGTGGACAGTGGGATTGAGTGCACCCTCAGCAAGTTTGCTGACGACACTAACCTGTGTGAAGCGGTTGGCACACCCAAGGGATAGGATGCCATCCAGAGGGACCTGGACAGGCTGGAGAGGTGGGCCTGTGCCAACGTCATGAAGTTCAACAAGGCCAAGTGCAAGGTCCTGCATGTGGGTCGGGGCAATCCCATGCACAAACACAGGCTGGGCTGAGAATGGATCAAGAGCAGCCCTGAGGAGAAGGACTCAGGGGTGCTGGTTGATGAGAAGTTCGACATGAGCTGGCAATGTGCAGTCACAGCCCAGGAAGCCAACCATATCCTGGGCCACATCAAAAGAAGCATGGCCAGCAGGTCGAGGGAGGTGATTCTGCCCCTCTACGCCGCTCTGGTAGGATCCCACCTGGAGTACTGCGTCCAGCTTTGGGGCCCCCAACATAAGAAGGGCATGGACCTGCTGGGGGGAGTCCAGAAGAGGGCCACGAGGATGATCTGGGGCTGGAGCACCTCTTCTATGAAGACAGGCTGAGAGAGTTGGAGTTGTTCAGCCTGGAGAAGAGAAGGGTCCAGGGAGACCTTATAGCATCCTTTCAGTACTTAAAGGGGGCCTACAGGAAAGATGCTCATTTGTTTGGTTGGGGGTTTTTTGGTTGGTTTTAAACATTTCATTAGAATAACACTGCTTTCCATTTGAGTATCATAAATAAATTAATCTCCTTTCTCCATTCAAAGGGAGGAGAGGACGTCCCATGATGTGTGCAAAAAAGGCGGGCGAGTCTTGGGGTATTCTTTAGTGCCAAGAGGGGTGGAGAGATTTTCAAGTGTTATGACATTTTTCTTCCCTTGGTTTTAATTAAAAATATCAATGCATAACTACTTTGAAAAATCTTCCATATTGATCATGCGTGGTTTTGGATGCCTAAAAATCTTGCTCTCTTCTTATGTCCCGCTTCCTAGCTTTGATACTTGCCTTTCTGCTAGGCCCATGTGTTAGCTAGTGTTTTGCCACAGTTTCTAGTTCAGTGTTGAATGCTTTAACACAAGAGAAAGGATTTTCAATAAACCGGTAATTAAAATTTTAAGTTACAATTGAAATATTTTTTCAGTCTTAAATTTCAGTTAGCCGCGGCTTGTTGAGTACTACAGACTTTTTTCTAAGATTGTTTTGAGTTTTTTAATTCAGCTGTAACAAATCTTACATGGGCCATTAATAAGTTTCTCTTATCTTTGTAGAAAAAGTGGTAGTTTATAATTCAGAGACTTATCTATTCAGATACCAAAGCATCTAACGGAAATTTAGACCCCCCAGATATTTTAGGGGGTCAGAAAAGTGCTTTGTTATCTGCCTGGGACTCCCTGAAGTCAGTATAAACCTATGCTTAAGAGCAGCTCCAAAGCTCTGCTCCTGCAGCACTTTACTGTTGTGGTAAAAACTTGTAATTTACCAAAAGAGTGGGAGAATGGAGCTCATTCAGTTTGCATCAGCATTAAGAGTAGAACATGATCCTGGACAACTTGAAACTAGGTCCTAATTTTGGTGAAATATTCATTAATCTGTGTAAAACCTTGAACAAACGGTGTTTCCTATATATATTTATAATGAAACTTGAAACTAAGTAGTGCTGTTTTCTCTGAACATTCAATGTAGCTTAGATATATGCACAGAATTTTAATCATTTTTGGTTCTTGGGGGTGGGACGGTGGGAATCAAACAGCAAAGTGAAAAGCAAACTTTCCCCCCTCCCCAGGGTGGCTGTCTCATTACTGAGTGAAAGCTGAATTTAAAATGAAAAAATTTAAAAACCAAACTAGACCTGGATTCCCGTAATGAAGAGTAATGTAGTGATTAAAAAGGCAGATAGCAGCACAGAAATAAGTTTCAACCATTGTAAAATCCTGCTTCCTATCTGTGAAATAATCTTGGTAATTACAACATCTCAGCTACTAAAATATCACTATTGTCAATGTTATTCATGTTAGCTGGGATTTCTAAAAATTCTGTGAGACTTTTAGTAGTCTGGGAAGTACCAAAATCCTTTACTAAGGAGACAAAGAACATTTTAAAAATATTGGATTATTCTAATCTCCCTGGAAAACAAAGAAATCTAAACATACTTCAGTTTTTAGATTGGCTTTTTATTCCACATTTCATCTTGAAAATGCTTTGAAGAATACTGTGTATTAGCTATGTAGGAAACAACAGAATATACATGTTAGTCACTCATTTAAATGTGTTGAAAATGTTCACTGTTGGCTTTGGAGTTTAGTCAAATAGTTCTACTGGATGTAAAACTCAAGAGAATGTGAAGTATATTTTTATTCTGACACAAAAGGACTAATATATTTACCCTCCTACACACTCAAAGTGTGTGTCTTTCAGATAGCTGTGGTGATCCCTGGGAAGAAACAAGGAAATACAATTGACATTGTGACATGTTCCTTCCTTTAAAACAGTATCTAGTGAAGAATGCTTATAGTACTTTTCGTGATGTTTTAATTTGGATTTATTCCTAAAAATATAGTTTCCTTATATTTTATCATTGATTCAGTCCTTTTAATGAGACATGGTAGAAATGATGTTATCTCCACTAAATGTCTGATATGCTTACATTACTTGAATAAGTGTGCTATAGCTTCTCATATTTCTTTCTCCAATTCTGTCCTACAGCTGACGTAAATGTGAATGTATCAAAACCTTTGAAAGCAAATCTCAGTTTTGTCAGACTTGATCAAATAAACCAGTTTTTGAAGAAAATCATAACCAGAAATGATGATGAGTCCAGGAAGGAGGCTGCTCCATCAGCTGGCATTATTCCGGATGAGGATGTCGCTTTGATAACCAAACACCCCAGTACCACGGATTTGCTACCTGCAGCACACACCAACACTGCGCAAAAGGCTTCAGTACAAGAAAACTTGTGGCAAGCCCTTTCATGCTTCCAGAAAATTTCCATTCACACCGTTCAAATGGTTGTTTCAATGGAAACCATACCACATCCCAATAAACCTTGTTTGTTAGTCTCTTTATCAAACCTCAGTGGGAGCCTGAATATTAAAAGTGGACATAAAACTGCAGGTAAGAGTTTTTGAAAGTTGGAAGTGCTACTGATTTGTTCAAGTGGTGGCCTAGTAACCGTTTTAAAGCATGGGGTATTGAAGGGAGCTCCGCTAGCTAACAATAAATCCACAACAGAAAATAGCAAATCCCTGATAGACTCCATGACCCGAGTTTTCCTTTCAGTGAGGCAGCACCTAAGAGTGCTTAATTTTGTAGTTAATATCCCCTAGCTTGTAATTATTAATTTATTGACGGAATTCTGGCTAGAATAGTGGTTCTTGTAACCTGGTATTTGGATAATTCCGCACATACTTCAGAGGGCAAAATTTTGACAGTTATCACTCTATAACTACCTTTTCTTGTTAGGACCCTATATTTCTTTTTTTAAAAAATACAAAAATAATTATTCATAGCCCTGACTCATGCTACTATGTAAATATTGGGTCATACCATTATTCTCCTCCAGGCTTATGAAGTTATAATTTTTACATGCTTCCTTTGCTCAGCTGAGAGTCACCCAGGGAAAACGGGTGCTCCAGCCTCATTAAACAGAGCTGCGAGGAAACTTTACACCTTGGGTATAATTAACAGGATACCAGAGACTCATTTAAAATGAAGACATTTTGAGTGTCTTTGTAAATTGTTTTATTAGTCTTTTAATAAAATTAATAAGATGGTACATTTACATGATGTGGAGATGAGCCAGAAGTAGGTAGTTGGCAGAGTACTTGTGAGGTAAAATGGCCTGTAGCTGAGAGGAACAAGTTGTAGGCCAAGTGAGGTGGTGATTTATTTCGTTTTCAATCAGAAACATTTCTCCTTAGGCCAGCAAGTTTCAGTGCTTCTTTATTGTTTTAGAAGTTAAAAATGAAAAATTTAAGGTTTGTAGTACATGAAAGCCTGTGAAAGTGCTGCAGCCTGAAACTCTTGATTTATCCATAAATAAACAGCAGTACAAGCAGGAGCAGTGCCTGCATTCCCACGCTTTTCCAGTCAGATCGCAACCCCAGCATAGAAAGCACTGTAACTGAGTAAAAAGCCTTTCTGATGTCCTTTAAATAGTTCTAGTTTTCTTACTGTGTAATAATCCTCTTTCCTTCCATTGCTTCCTCTCTGTCATTTATACATTATCAGTCCCATGGTACATTATGGTGTCCACAGCAAGCTTCGATATATCAAAGCTGAGCCTGTTCCGTCCCTGTACTGGAAAGCAATTTGGCAAACTCAGCAGTGTGTATTACTTACCCTGGAGTTTTTCATCCTCCCAGGAGGATGTACCTTGCCTTGCATGTTAAGCCTCAAAAACATTTTGCTACGAAGTTCTGTTTCTTAATTCTTCTGGCAGTCTGAGGAAGCCAATCTTTCTTTTTCATGTCACAAGCTATACATGAATCTTCAGTATGTTTGTAGTCTGGCAAGCATTGTTAAGTAAAGCAATACTGATGCTGAATCTAATGAAAATGGAAATTACGTATTCTGTATGAAGAACTTTCATAACCAGACAATACGTAGGCATCAACAGACTTTTCACGTTTTTTTCCAGTTAAAGTTGCCTTTGCTTTAGAAAAAGAAAAATACATGTATGTGCATGAGGTTTTGCATGCTGTTTTGATAGCACAATAAATTGTTTTAAGTTTCAAGAAGTGTGAAAGACACTTCCACAAAACTGATTGAAACGGTCAAAAATTATTTTAATAAATTGTTTGGATTTTTTTATTTAAAATTATTAATTTGAAATTAAAGTGCTGATAGAAACCAAAGTGGAAGTTACAACTTCAGGAAAGAAGATAAATTACTCAGTCTGGGGGAAGTGGTATTATAATCTTGTGTTCAAATACTTTAGAAGAATACCACAGTTACTAACTAGATTTGTTTTATTATTGCAAAGAAATTAGGCAAGCTAACTCAATTAAAAAAAAAAAAAAAAGTGTAGTAGCTGTGTCTTGGGAGCAAGGAGTATTTAAACATGTCAGTTCTTCACTACTTTTCTTTTTACAAAAGGCTTTATAGATCTACCTTTGAGCTGAACAGGGTTAATGTCAGATATTTTTTTATAGAATGAAACTAATACGCAAATACTTCATTGGGTCTTTGATTTTACAGTCAAATAACTATTGTGACCATCTGCAGCAGCTGCATTTTACGAATTATTTGCTGAACCAAACTAAGCACGATGACAAAAGTAGTCATCTCAGATGTACTGTTAAAACAGAGGAAGAAAAAGGAGCATTGCTTGCCTTTTGTACAGTATGACCATCTGCTGTACAGATGTTATTATATAGAATGACTTCAGATACAATAATTGTAGAAAATTTTTATTAAAACCTCAACAATTTGCACTTGTTTACTTGAATCTGCATAACTCCCCAGTGAGACAACACAATACGCTTGGGGTTTTTTTGGTTCTCACTAGCTTTCTCTTTGATCCTTTTTGATGTGCTGACTTTAATAAACATAGTTAAAAACACTGTTCAAAAACATCATGGAAAAAACTACAAAGGAACAATTATAGCAGTAGAAACTACTCTAATCCCTTACTTACGCAAGCTATTTTTAGTGAAATATGTTTTTTTACACATTTTATGTGGCAGTGTTTTACAAACAGTGTAAACGACCCCTTTTCCAGATGAGTTTTAATGTAGGAGATGAAGTTGGTTTGTGAGGAGTCCTATTTCCTAGGAATTACTTAGCGAAAAAACCTTGCAAGAATGTATTGTCGACATTTTTCCTCCCTTATAGGGGGAAAACAAAAGTGCGTGACCTTGTGTAATGCTTTGAGTTTTTTAACAGAAATTAAGAAAGAAGATTGCCATATAACTTTTTTTTTTAATTATCAGTTTTCCCTCTAGACTTTGCTGGTTTAATCATGGAAGCTAAAGACCTTCTGTTTTGATTTTTCTTAATTTGTTACGAAAGTAAAAAGATGTAGCTTCTGAAATAGAGGGGCTAATTAGTTGAATTATTTCACTTCTAACAAAATAAATTCTAAGTGTTGAACACTCACATTGCAGTTGGATCAAATTAAAACACGTCCATTTCGACATATCCTACTGCACTGTTATACAACCCCAAACCCTTTGTGTGTCAAGGGACTTCATTTTTTGGACATTTTTCATGTTTTAATACAACAGTTACTTATAACAACATGGTTACTATTTCTGCTAGAATACTTATGTTCTCCTCTGTACTTATGGTGAAATTCCGAGTATTTTGGTTTCAGTAAAGCAACGTTGTTGTAGAATGTGATGCAGCGTATTGGCAAAACACAAACCAAAGCAAAATCCCTTTTCCAAAAAAAAGATATTATTAATTTTTCTTTAGAAGAGACTACCAGTATAGTTTTTCTGATACCTCAAGGGCAGGAGTCATACTGATGTAAATAAAATCATTTTCTGTACTCATTTTATATTTTGTGACTTACAGTTACAAGTTAAAACTTGTACCTATTTCATACAAGCAAATAACAAACATTTAGCTCATTTTTGGCAGCTTATTTGTACTGTTGACAAGTTCAAGAACTATCGTTAGACTTGGTTCAGTGAATTTTGTCCTCTGAAGTATGTGGCATCTTCTACAAAGTGGCTAGAGCTATCAAGTGCCACGTACCGAGTTAGATTTGATATTGCTTGGTATTGCACTTGAGGTATATAGCTCTCTCCAGAACAGTCATATGCCGTTAAAGTAGAAATAATTTTTAGCAATAAATACTAGGAAGTAGAATGCAATTCTAAACATACGGCTTTCAGTTAATTTAGGTTTGGTGTTGAAACTAGCAGTATCTACCTGCCAAAAGAGCAGATAAATGAGAGAAGTTGAGGACTGCACTCTCCCCAGAGTGAAAGACAGCAAGAAGCCTGTAGCCCCTCGGTCGAGTCTTATTTTGCTCTGGCTGGACACAGGAGGGAAGTCTTGCTGTTCAGCGTCTTAACTGAGAGAGTTACAAACATAAAATATTCCAAAGATCATAGACAGAATTCCCCAGTCCTTCATCCTGTATGCAGAGATGATTACTTTAGCATATAAATAAGGGAAAAAAATAAACACTAGTTGAGCGTATGATAATCACAAGTATTTTTACTAAACCTGAAAGAAACTAAATACTTAACATACTTTACAGAAATATTAAAAATAAAATGCAGCTATTAATTGGTGTAGAGCAAAGACCAAACTTAATTTTGGAGTTAACTGACTCTCTTGAGAAAACTCCGCTAAGGCGTTGTCATAGCCTTTGGATGCTGCAGATATGCAAGTTAGCCCATGGGGAAATAAAACATTAAATTAGATATGACTACCTAAAATAATATGCAGCAGTAACAAGCCATTTACAACACCCAGAAGACCTTTGTTACTTTTAGAAAGAAATATAAATGCTTTCCAACACTTGAACAATAGGAAATTAATTCTTTGTCAGCAAAAGCCAGAGGACAAACTAAATATTTAAATGGCCACTGGGATTGAGGTGGAAGTGCAGCTTGTAGACAGCTATACAAATCACTAACAAACCTTAATGAATATTGGGTGTGGGCATCAGGGTCCTGTCAGATTTGACACCGTGTCCCAAGTAGCTTAAACCCAACACTCAAGAAAAGGTGGAGACCTCATCAGGCCTCTAACATCTGGGATTTTATTTGTCATTTTGGCATACCCTGCAAGCGCAAAAGAAAGAGTAAAAGGGGATTATCCTGACAATGAAATGAGTTACTGAATCTTGTGATAATGAAAAGCAGAAGAATTCTAATTCCTTTCTATAGTCCCTGAGGTGGAGGTGCGTTTATAGTTCTGCAGGAGTATAATGTAGGAGGGAAGAACAGATGGCCTAAAATCCATGAAACAAGACACCACCTAATCCCAGGACTGAGTACCACTATTAATCCTGGTCAGATTCCCTACTGGTACTTTGTAACAGGGTTCAGAATTGCTACTGATGAACTAGCATGTTAAGTTGGGGGGGAGGAGAAAAGTTAGTTGTAGGTTGTTGATTCAAGACAGTGTGCACTAATTTTTTCTGTACAACTTCATTTACA